CTTTTCACAAAAACAAACCTGTGTGTGTGTGTTTGTGTGTGAGAGAATTTATGTAGGTTTGTGTGAAAAGTTGCCATCTCACATGCTCATGCAGCTTAAAATATCCATGAACATAAACACTTAATAATATTGAATGTACAACATTTTGTTTCACTTAAACATTTTAAAAAGTCGTCAAACCATGACAAAAAGAAATGCTGTCAGTGTTTATATGTGATGTAGCATAATATCAGCACACTATTAGCTAGTGTTTTGTTTGAGTCTGAGGAAAAACAGGGTCTGGAGTCAGGACTGTCCGAGACCTCAAAGTGAATCTGGCCTTGAATTAAATCATCAATATTTTTTTGCTTTATTTTGACCTTTATGACTAAGTACAATGTGTCAATTTAAATGAAACCAAACCTGCTTTGATTGTATCCTGTCATTCTGATTGCTAATTTCATTTTAAAATCTCATAACTAGTGTCCTGCTGAACTTAAAATTGGTTTCAGAAACAAAGCATATGCAAGAATGAAATTCCAAAACACAATGAATTCATTTCTGAGAAGAATTGGCGCTCTAATCAACAGTTAAAAATACACAATGGGCATCATTTTTCATTCTCTCTTATGTCTCAGTGTCTTCTAGCAGATTAAGAAAACTGACAGATCTATTATGCAGCCGTGGGGTGCAGCAATGATTTCAAAAGAGAGCGGGACAGAATGTTCAGTGGAAGACCAAGACATTTCTGACTGATGACTAAGTGACCTAGTCATGTAATTGTATCCTATTTGTATTGTCTTGGTATTTTTATTTTTTTGGTAATAAAGAGCAGAACATAAGAACATCATACATTTTCAGGAGTAATCAGAGGCCAGGCTTTGGCTGAGCAGTGAGTGTATTAGATCAGTTTTTTCAGTCCTGGTCCTGCAGTTTTCCAGCTCCCATATCTAACACACCTGATTCAACATTATCAGCTCATTAGCAGAGGCCCCATGAGCTGAAATCAGTGCCAGATAAAATGTGATACGTCGGAGGGCTATTCAAAGTTACAAAAAAAAGAGAGAGAGAGA